GAAAGAGACAGCACATATAAAAGTTGTCTTACTTTCTGAGTTAGAGAAAGCCAGCATGCCTTTTTGAGAGTTTAGGCACATAAGCAGTATAGGAATAATTTAAATAATAATTAATTACACGTCTATGCTGTGTAGTCTTTCTTTTTGTTTTCTATTCTAAGGTGATGTTTTTCATTTAAAGTTCATTCAGTATCACTACTTAATTCCTCGTCTCAGGTCCTGATCTCCCCACAAGCCAGCTCTTGTGGTTCTACAGAAGTTTATAGGCCAGAACCTAGCTGAGCTGTGCTTGGCACAGAACCTGAGTAGATGACGATGGCCACCATTTTATACTTCTGTGATCTTGAGGGCAGCATTCAGCTGCGATAACTTAAATTTGTAGCAACAGCTGCCTATGAACGCTGAGCTGCTACCCCAGAGCTTTGTGTATTTGATGAAGAAGGATCTGGTAGCAGTAACTTAGAGCTCTTCAACGTAAAGACTTCCCAGCTGGACAGAGCAGAGATAAGACCCATGATAGGAAAGGAATCAACTGAAAAAAATGAAACAGAAGTTCCATTTGTCTGCAAAAGATCCCCAAAAAATAACAAATCCTGAGGAGCAGAGGGAAATAAATATGTGAGACTAATTCTGAATCATGAGATGTTGTCCAGAGCCCTGGTAAAGATGTATTAGTAGAACTGTTTGGGAGGGAGAGCCGGGGGGCTGAGAATCTGCACTAGCATGGCCCAAGGTCTTTAAACCTTTTGGAACAGTTTTTTATGAGCTAAGAAGTTCTGCATTTTAGACTGCTGTTGGAAATCAAGCAAAACAAGCTGCTCACTATCCACTGCAGAAATCCCTCTGTATAATATTTTTCTTTTCTTTTCCATCTCCCTCCTCTCCACAAGGATCTCAAACATCTGAGCATGAGCTGTTCCTGGACCCCAAGTTATTTGAGAAAGGTTAGTATTTCATTACTAAATTGAACTTCGATGTCACTGTACCTTTACTTTCAAACTTGCTGATCTTTGTCCTTCTTTTCCTTTGGTGCGTTACCTATGTGGTTCTTTCAATCACAGACCAAGGCAGCACTTACAGTGGGGATCTAGAATCGGAAGCAGTCTCAACTCCACACAGCTGGGAGGATGAGTTGAATCACTATGCCTTACGATCGAATGCCATGCAGGATCCAGACCCTGAGCTTAGGCAGTTCTCCAAAGGGGATATGGAACAGGACCTGGAGGCAGACTTCCCATCAGGTTTGTGTAACATGGAGAAAAAGAACTGTCATAAATATGTGCATGGGTTTCTGAATAAGCACTTTTTATTATCTTTACTGCTGTCAATTAATTTGTTTAAGAAGGCATATATTTCCATTCAGCACAAACATCTGTTAAAGCTGCAATATATCTGCTCTATTAAAGATACTCCATCTTTATAAAGTAGAACACACTTTTGCTCTCTTTCAAAGTAAACCTCCTAGATGATTTAGGAGGAAATAGCAGTTACTCTTCTTTGACTCCTTTAAATTTGTCATTTTGTCTCTCGCCATGGCATGGTTTTTTATTGGACAAAAGAGAGAAGTCTCCTAAAAGCAAAAACTTGTTTAGTTTCTGGGGATTTTTCTTCCACTTAGAATTCTCTGCGTCCCTTGTATGGGACTTCCTCCATGTCCTCTGCCTGAGCTTCCTCACAGCTTATTTATTGAAAGGGACTTCAGCACAGTGTCATGTAATATGAATATCTACATGCGGAAACTCTAATTTTAAGAACTTTAATAATGTCTCAAACTGTCGTTTCTAGATGGGCCTGTTTAAATCATGTAAATTAAACTTATGATGATGTTGATTTGACTTTAGACTCATTTGACCCTCTCAGTAAAGGACTGGGTCTCCACTCACGTTCGCGAGCAAGGCGGAGGCATAGAGATGGCTTTCCACAGCCAAAAAGACGGGTAAGAAAATATCCTTGCAATGTATAAATTCAGTGCATCTACAGTGCTAATCTTGCATATGTATTTTCTTGTAATGACTTTGCTCAGACATGAAAAGAGTTTGGTGTTGAAAATGTTTACCTTCACTGCATTTGTTTCACTCTTCTATTATACAAAATAGTGTACCATTTTGGCTCGGGGGAATCCATTTTCTTTTTTATGTGGGTGACATTTAAAGAGTACTTAACATTTAAAATCAACTCTTTTTGAGCCGTTAGGTTATACTCTGTTTTTGTATGTTGCACACAAAAAAAATTCCTTTGTGCATATGAATCACAGGGAGCATGGATTTGGAAGCACAGAGAACTGGGTTTTCTTTGTCTCTGCCATTGACTTGCTGCATATACAGAACCTGTTTTTTAATATCCCTACTTATAAAATGAGAACAATATTTGTCTGCTCTTGGTAAAGCTTTTCTGATGCTTTCAAACAGCTGCTTTTTTATGAACACAAGCTTTTAAGAGTACAAGTCAAAGTGCAGTGTACGTTTCCATGGATGTCAGAGCAAAGAGTGTCCCTTGGTGAACCTATGTTTTTTGGATTTCTTGCAGGGAAGGAAGAAGTCTATAGTTTCTGTGGAGCCCCGAAATCTTATGCAGGGTTCGTATCCAGGCTGCTCTGTTTCTGGGATGACCCTGAAGTACATGTATGGGGTAAATGCCTGGAAAAATTGGGTCCAATGGAAAAATTCACAGGAGGAACAAGGGGACCTAAAATTTGCAGGTAAATTTGACTCCATTGTTTCAACAGGGAAAAAAATAGTTGTGGGGGGGGTGCTATCCTGATGTACTTTTTGAGATGGATGTGCGACAAGCCTCAAACAACACACAAGCTCCCATGAGTGCAGTAAGAATCTTGGGAAACATTTCTTAATTTTAGAGGCTCCTCATTCTTGAAAAGCGCACCTGTACGTTAATTTTAATGTTACGTCACCTATCAAAAAAGGACTCAGACTGAAGTCTGAGAGTTGAACATTTTAAATAGTGCAAGCTTTAAGTACCTGAAGGTGTTCATTTTTCTGCAGTAGTACTTGAGTTAAACCACAGAGATATTTATTCAGCTGCAGTGCTCTGGTTCAGCTGCATACTGAGCCTTCTGTTTTGGTGCCATCTATTTTTTTTTAGTAGTTAGGTATTAGGGCTGTGTGATACAGCACTGTTCCACTTCAACTTCCGTTTCAATGGAACAGTGTTTCGTTTAGAGTTTCGTTTCAAAAGCACTGTTCTGTTTTGTTTTGTCGAAACTGTTTCGCTGTTTCAGTGCTGTTTCAACATTTTACCTGTAGGCTATAATGGGGAAGCATGAAACTGCCTATAACTTTGTCATTTCTTACCTGATTTGGATGAAGCGTGTAGGGATGGTAGCCCCTTATGTGGGCATGAAGCCTGCCAAGTTTCAAGGATATAGGTGCAGAGGTTTCTGGAAAAGTGCACCTCAAGGTGCTGACAAGCAGGAGCAGCCTTCTGTGATCTGGCAGGCAGATCAGGGGCCCACACCCCCAGGAGGAGTCTGGCACAGCCCCTGCAGCCCTCCTGGGGGTTTGGGTGGGCCCCCAATCTGCCTGCCGGATCACAGGACACTGCTCTTGCCCCCTAGCTCCTGCTTATCAACAGCTTGAGATGCAGTTTCCTAGAAATCTCTGCACCTACTGTGATCCAGCAGGCAAATCGGGGGCATGTCCAAACCCCCGGGAGGGCTGCAGGGCCTGTGCCAGACTCCTCCCAGGGGTGTGGGCCCTTGATCTGCCTGCTGAATCACAGGAGGCTGCTCATGCTGGCTGGGACCGGCACTGGGCACAGCCTGCACCCAGCACCAGGAAGATTGGTGCTGCCACTGGCCCCAGCCAGCAGCAACAGCATGCTGTCATCTGGCATGCAAATCCGGGGGCCCTCACCCCCGGGAGGGCTGGGACCAGCACTGAAGCCACGTAAGCCCAGCTTCAAAACTCAAAACATTTCAAGTGCCCTTGTTTCGTTTTGAAGCTGTTTCAAAGGCTTTTGTTTCATTTCGATTTTGCTGTTTTATGCTCAAAGTGCATTGAAACAGCTTCAAACGAAACACCCGGCAAAATTTTGCACAGCCCTAATATTCATGTACTACTTATATTCCAACATAACTCCATTTACTGTTTAACCTGTGTCTTTTCAGTCTAGAATCAGGCTCTGTATTTCTAGTCCTTTGATGTGTAAAGGAAGCCTTCCTGATGTGTCCCAGAGCCATTCTGCAGCTTGCTTGAAATAATTTCAGAAAAACATGAACCATTCTTTTTGCATCATTGGAGTGCTAGCTAATAATGACTTGTTTTTCTTCAGTAGTGAATCTTTTTAATAGAAACCTACAGGGATTGTGGCAGCGTAAGTAGAATGCCACTGCATCCTTTTTCCCATTCTTGATGATCTATGTGCAGGTGAAAACACAAACGGTTTTGTTTGCAAGTTTTTAAAGTTCAGTGAAAATGCAATTTGGAAATAATAGCTGGGGAGATATGGTGGCAGGAAGAGAGCAAACTATTTTCCTGAAATGGAATTTGAAGGTTTTATGTAGGAAAGATTCCAGAGGAAAACTTGCTCATTAAGACAGGAGTTTGCGCATGCACTCTCTCTCTCACGCTCTCTCTCTCTCGTGCTCTCTTTTGTTCCTTCTCTTTCTTTCCCTTCCCCATTTGGAATTATTTTGTGACATCTAGCTGATCATAGTTCCATCAAGAAAATAATCCATTGTGTTACTGTCAGTCCTATTTTTGTGGGTAAAAAGACACCACTTAACCCAGTTCCCAGAAGCCTCTTACATACCTCAGGCTTATCCCACAAGGGCTTTCTGTTCTATTCTGAAAACAGCAATTTTCAAATGGTATGATGCGACCAAGCTCCGTGAGTTCACATAGCATCCCCTGGCCCTTTAATCTGGAACTAACTTTCTTTGTTATGTTTGCTTTTCTTCCCTTTCCCAAACCTCTGGCTTTTTAAACTCTTAATTCCTTCCTCCCTTTAAGGAGTCGAACATGCTGCACCCAACTTATGTCCAAGGCTACTAGGAAATACTCAAGATCTTTCTTTCACTCAAGATTCCCCTGAGTCCATCTATAGAGGTGAAACTGATTTATCAAACCTACAGTGCCAGTCAAAGTATATGTAACCATTGCTGTGCCACATTTGCAGGTTCAGCAATCACACTACCATAAAGTCTCTCTTAGCTTTAAATACCCATTTTGGTATTGCTCAGCTAGACTGGTGGTTTGTAGTAATAAATGTGCTTCATAATTGTTAGTTAATAAATGGGAATGTGGTACACAATTATTTTGGACGTGAGAGGCGTTGTTTAATTAAACTGGATGTTTTAATTGCTCTGCCTGCATGATGTAAGTGACCACAGAAATGTGAAGGACTGACATGCTGAACAGAGTTAATGTTTCTTGTACATCTGTTTCCCACAGTTCGGCCCGTAAAACTCAAAGAGGATATTCTCTCATGCACATTTGCCGAGCTGAGTTTTGGCTTGTGCCAGTTTATTCAGGAGGTGCGGAGACCAAATGGCGAAAAATATGATCCCGACAGCATCTTATATTTGTGCCTTGGAATTCAGCAGGTAATTCAGTGTGACAAGAAAAACATTATGGGTTTGGGCAGGGGGATTGAATGTGCTGTCCATGGACATGAATAGCTAATAGCTGTTAGGGCTTTTAAGGGAAAGGAGCTTTTATGTCTCTCCCTCATTCTTAACTCTTTCACACATACCTCTCACACCTCTTTGGCTAACCTGTTTCTTTGGCATAGCAAAGTGAGCTCTTCTTTTCAGGGGAAGAATGGATGTCTGTGTCTAGACCAGTTGTTCTCAACCTTGTTAGACCCAAGACACCCCTTGGAAAATGCCACCTCTTAGCTTTAATTAATTTTTCCACTGTGGAAACATAATAGAGCAATTGTTTTGTGGCAAAGAACTCAACAAAGGCCACAATGGGTCAAAATGTTTTTTGACACTGTGGATTCCTATTTGAAATCTGTGGGTTTATCTTGTGAATCATGTCTAGGTGTTTGTACACACAAGTACCATGGCACCCTGGTTAAGTCTCACTGGTCTAGACACACATCTTTTATTTCTTATCTTGATTAATTGCTGTTTGTGGCCAAGGAAGCTATTCATAAGCATACTTTCTGAGAGAGCATATTCTGGGGATTCTGCTGAAATGCTTACTATGTTCTGCATGGTAAAGATACCAAAGTGGTTAGAGAAAGCCCTTTTAACTTCTCAGCAAGTATGGAAGAAGTCTCAAGAATGTGCAGCTGCCATTGCTGGGAAGCACTTACAAAATATCAGGAGAATAACAGAATTGGAGTTTACCATTAGGACAAAAATATAACTTATTATTGGGAACTGCTTATCTACCACAGGCAGAAACATTTAGAATAAAATGCTAAAATATAAACGTAACCATTGAAAACTCATTGTAATTCAGCTCAATATGAAACCATTTTTTTCCCAGGGTAGAGTGTTTATTCATTCTCTCTGGAAGCCATTCTTAGATGCAGGATCTAAACCTCCTATTTGATGAGGGGCTCATTTGTCACCTTAACTTTCATTACTAGACATGCTTGAAAAAATGGCAGTGCTATGAATTTGGAGTGGCTGTAAGCAGTTCTGGGAAGATCAGAACATTTTCGTGCATTCTACATTTAATTTATTTATACATGCTATTTTTTTCCTCATGATGCTTCAGAAAAAATGTATCCAAACCCATTAGTCATTAAAGGACCATAGAATCAAGATACACGGTGAACATTTTTACAGGTTGCTAAGATCAAGCCTGATACTGGTTTGAAAGCCTGGAATCCCCATTATTGCCAAGGGAAACTGTCTTAACATTTCAGCCCAGTTCACTAGTAAGATACTAATACAGGTACTCTGGTCTCTGTAGACAGAGCCTTTTTCGGGGGGGATACCTTTCATTGTGTTAGAGTAGTGAATTTTCTAAACAAGGTTCTGGAGCCTGGAATTCAGTAATTCTTGCTGTCCCTCTGACCTAATATGTGGAGGTCCCAACCCCTGCAGAATGCCTACTTTAAGGTTTTACCGGAGATGACAGCATAAAATCCTTTGAGTTTAACGCACCTGAAAGTATCCATTTGACTTAAAAGGAAGGCAAACAGAAACAGGAGAGAACAAAATAAATCTGATGCCCTGTTACCTCTGAGCACTCTTCTGTGTAACCATGAATTGTGTCTTCCTTTCTTTTCTCTTGTAGTACCTGTTTGAGAATGGTAGAATAGATAACATTTTTACCGAGCCCTATTCCAGGTTTATGATTGAACTTACAAAGCTTTTGAAAATCTGGGAACCTACAATACTTCCAAATGGTAGGACAATTATTTTTCATATTGTGTTTTGATATACACATGCATGACAGTGAAACCCATCTAATAAATAAATATGTTCTCAGGGTAGGGTTCTTAGATAATGAGACTGTAAACTCTGCCAACGAAAGTGTATGAACCTTATACTTTGAGGCACTCCTCTTCTCCCTCTATTTCATGACAGTAATTTATAGTGGATAGAAATTGTGTATCCTCTATCCAGATCTGCCTCACATGTGATACAGCCTCTGGCAAGTGGCATCTAAGCATCCCTGCCTCTGGTTACCCCCAGTTAAAACAAGAAAATGCTCCTCTTAAATATGTGCTGTGGAGCTTTGTGAATTAACATTTGTTAAATGCTATGCATTGCTCTAGCACCATAGAACTGTGGTTTGCAAAGTAATGTTATATATTCTCTGTTGTCTTTGTTTCCTGCAGATTTGGCAGCTTAGTATACTAGGGATGGGTGAGTGGGGGAACTTGTTTAGATTTAATTTTGAGAGAGAGGAGAGAGAGTGAAGTATTGGTTCAGTTTTGTTGATCCAAAGGTGGTAATTTGATAAATAAAGCTAAAACAGATGAACACACTATAACTTGGGTAGATTGGGTCTGTTTTCAGGATATCACATATTTTTAAGTGATTATTGTGACTGTACAAGGGTCTGCAGCCAGCTTTTTCTGTCCTTATTTTAATTTTAAAAATCACCTATCTGCATGGTGTTGGATATAGCCTCTTGCTGTCTAACAGACCTGTGGTAAACCACCATAGTTTCTCTTCCTTACCTACTTTAGAGTCACTGTTACAGCAGCTTACGTTCACATAGATGTAGTCAATTTATATTCGTGCTCTATACCCAATGAAGTATTCTGTTTGAGCAGTTGACTGGTGGAGTAGGGCAATACTCTACTGAAGTCTTACTGATATAAACAGTGCTTTAGACCAGAGGTTCCCAACCCCTGGGTTGCAGCCCGGTACCAGGCCACAAAGGATTGGCTGCCAGTCTGCAGGAGGGTTGGCTGCCAGACCGGAAGTCCAGAAGTGACCGGCATACTGCAGACCAGCAGCCAACCCTTTTGATCGGAAGTGCGTCTGGTCCACTTCTGGGTCTGCTGCCAAATGTGCTGGGGAGCCCCCAGCTGAATTCGGCACTCCTTGTGCCCCAGCATCTCAGCGCTCATGAGCCACCTGCTACCTAGAGGTACATAGAAAAAACATTTAAAGCTGCGTCTATGTCCGAATCTCTCTGAATCAATTCGGAGAGATTAAAAGGTCCTCTGATTCAGTTCGGTGCTGAATCTCTGAATCTGAATCCGGTTGAATCTCCGCCAAATCAAATCGGTGACCAAAGCTTCGCACAGCCCTAATACTAGGTCACTGGGAGTTGCTTATTCATATCCAAGCACAGAAAGTGGACCTTGCGTTGTAATGTTTTTTTCTTAAATAAATAACTAATTTTTTTTCTTTCATCCATCATCCTCAGGTTACATGTTCTCAAGAATTGAAGAGGAACATTTATGGGAATGTAAACAGCTGGGTGCATATTCCCCTATAGTCTTATTGAATACACTTCTTTTCTTCAACACCAAATACTTCCAACTAAAGAATGTCAATGAGCACCTAAAGTTGTCTTTTGCTCATGTTATGAGACGTACCCGGACTCTGAAATACAACACCAAGATGACCTATTTACGGTTTTTCCCACCTTTTCAAAAACAAGAGATAGAATCAGGTATCTGACCGATTTCTGATTATTTTAATGTTTTAATTAATATATACAGAGCAACAGCAGCACTCTCCCCCTTCCCCCATTTATTCTGCTAATATTTTGTTACTTTTCCCAATGTATTTTCACTTCTACCTAAGTTTATACCAGAACTTTTTGCACGTGCCCAAATGATCAATAGAAATTTGTGAATGAGGTGTCCAAAATGTTTGTCTGAAAGATTATAGAGCATCATAAACATAGCTGACATACCACCAGATGTAGGAGGTGCATCCTCTTCGAGGCTCAGGTTCATTAAGGTACTTGGCACTCTTAACTCCCATTCAACTCCATAGCATGTAAAGTTAGTCTGCTTAACGAGATCCCGTTGGTACGATGCACTGGACCAGGCCCAAAGAACGACAAAGCACACCCAACACTGGACGGTCACTGAGAGTAAAACAAGCCAATCGGAGCTCTTGGATGACAGGATCAGGAAGTGAAAATTGTCCTCTTCAGATGTGAAGAGATTGTCAGTTCTCTTGGACATTGAGATGTAGTTTGCTGTGGATATTGCATTGGGTCAGCCGTGTGTT